GGAATGCAGTCAGCTGGAGGAGTTCGTGACAGGACCCCCCCCTCTAGGGACGGCACCCGAAGTCCCAGGACGGCGGGCCCAGAAGTCTGTTAGCAGGGCAGGGTCGACAAACGAGCTCGTGGGCTCCCAAGAGCGTTCCTCAGGCCCGTACCCCTCCCAGTCCACGAGGTACTGCCAACCTCGTCCCCGGCGGCGGGCGTCCAGAATCCTGCGGACAGTGTAGGTGCGATCCGCCTCAACACCGCGGGGCGGAGGCACCCGGACCGGTGGAGTGTGGAGAGGAGAGGAGATCACCGGCTTAAGCTGGGAGACGTGAAAGACCGGGTGGATCCGGAGAGTAGCAGGGAGGCGTAGACGGCAGGTGACTGGATTGATGAACTTGAGGACAGGGAACGGACCCAGGCAGCGAGGAGTGAGCTTCCGGGAGCCAGCCGGCATCCTCAGGTTAGCGGAGGAGAACCACACCTGGTCGCCAGACCGGAAGACGGGGCCAGGCAGGTGGCGGCAGCGATGCTGACGGGCATACTCCGTGTTGGCCCGGGTGATGGCCGCACGGGCCCGGATCCAGGCGAGCCGACAGCGGCGGACCAGCGTCTGGGCAGCAGGGACCTCCACCTCGGGCACCTGATGATCAAACAGAGGAGGCTGATAACCATAACAGGTCTCGAAGGGAGACAGACTCGTGGCAGAGGAGGTCTGGAGGTTGTGTGACAGCTCCGCCCACAGGAGGAAGCGGGGCCAGGTGTTCGGCTGGGACGAAGCGAAGCAGCGCAGGTAGCGTCCAAGCTGCTGGTTAGCTCTCTCTGTCTGACCGTTCGTCTGCGGGTGGTATCCAGAGGACAGACTGGTGGAAGCACCGACCAGGCGACAGAACGCCTTCCAGAAGCGTGAGACGAACTGGGGTCCTCGGTCGGAAGCCACGTCCTGAGGGAAACCATGGAGCCGCACCACCTGTTCCAGGAGCAGTTCGGCCGTTCTCTTGGCAGTGGGGAGGCCGGCCAGGGCCACTAAGTGCACGGCCTTGGAGAAACAGTCCGTGATAGTCATTATAGTGTCCAGGTGGTCGACCGCCGGCAGTCCCATGACAAAGTCCAGCCCGATGTGTGACCACGGCCGTTTGGGCACAGGGAGAGGCTGTAACTCTCCAGCGCCGGGTCGGTTGGAGGACTTGGAGCGAGCACACACATCACATGCAGCTATGAACTCGCGGACGTCCTTCCTCATGGACGGCCACCAGAGAGCCCGACGGAGGAACTGGAGGGTACGGGCTTGTCCTTGATGTCCCGCGAGCCGCGAACAATGCCCCCACGTGAGCGCCTCTTGCCGGCAGGAGGCGGGAACGTAGAGACGGTTCGGTGGGGTCTCCGGCGGCGCTGGATCGCCAGGAAGTGCTGCCTGTATGGACTGCTCCAACGGCCATTGGAGGGAGGCCAGGAAGCGTTGAATCGGCAGAATGGTCCGAGGCTCCGGGGGGGCGGCATCTGGTGCGAAACGCCGAGAGAGAGCGTCCGCCTTGAGGTTCTTGGAGCCGGGCCGGTAGGCGATATGGAAGTGGTACGGCTCGAAAAAGAGGGCCCACCGAGCCTGACGTGGGTTGAGCTGGCGGGCAGTCTGTAGATGAATGAGATTCTGGTGGTCGGTCCAGATCAGAAAGGGATCGGTGGTCCCCAGGAGCCACTGCCTCCATTCCTCCAGCGCCCATTTTATTGCCAGCAGCTCTCTGTCGCCGACCCCGTAGTTCTGCTGTGTGGGGGAAAACTTCCGGGAGAAGTAGGCACATGGGTGGAGCTTAGAGTCTGGACCCCGTTGCGAGAGAACGGCCCCCGCTCCCACATCTGAGGCGTCCACCTCCACGACGAAGGGCCGGGTCTGGTCCGGGTGGAGGAGGATGGGTTCCTTAGTGAAACGTCCGACCAGCTCATGGAAAGCACGGACAGCCTCTGGAGTAAGGCGAAAAGGGCGAGGCTGATTTGTGGTTTTGGTGAGTGAGGTCAGTGGTGCTGCGAGGGAGCTGAAGTTGCGTATAAACCTCCGGTAAAAGTTCGAGAAACCCAGGAAGCTTTGCAGCTGCTTCAGGGTCGTGGGTAGAGGCCACTGAGCTACGGCCTGAACCTTCTGGGGGTCCATCTTCAGGCCCTGGGAGGAGATGGTAAAACCCAGGAAGGAGGTGGACTCCTGGTGAAACGCACACTTCTCCAGTTTGCAGTAAAGTCCATGGTCCAGGAGGCGGGACAGAACCGCTCGAACATGACGGATGTGCTCTTCGGCCGTGCGGGAGTAGATGAGGATGTCATCTAGATAGACAAAGACCCAGCGGCCCAACATGTCTCTCAGCACATCTGTAATGAACCGCTGGAAGATGGCGGGGCTGTTGCAGAGTCCAAAAGGCATCACCAAATATTCATAGTGGCCAGTGGGCGTAATAAAAGCGGTCTTCCACTCCTCACCTTCCTTAATACGGATGAGGTTATAGGTGCTGCGCAGATCCAGTTTAGTGAACACTGCGGCTTGTGTGATGGCGTCCAGAGCGGTGCCCATGAGAGGGAGAGGGTGACGGTCCCTGATCGTTATTTTATTTAACCCTCGATAGTCTATGCAGGGCCGGAGATCCCCCTCCTTCTTCTTTACAAAGAAAAACCCCGCGGCCCCAGGGGATGTTGAGGGTCGGATGAATCCCTTCTGCAGGGCATCAGTTATATAATTGTCCATAGCCCGGGTTTCCGCCGGAGAGAGGGAGAACAGGCGACCCCGAGGGGGGGTGGTGCCGGGCTGGAGCCTGATCTCCTGGTCGTAGGGTCGGTGAGGAGGTAACCTGGTAGTGGGTTCTTTAGCGAAGACCTGAGCGAGGTCGTGGTATTGAGGAGGGATGAGCATCAGGTCTACGTCTGTGGGAGTGGCTGCTCCAGTCCGAGGTGCAGGGGAGTCCCGGTGGTTATGGCAACCCGTGCCCCAGGCCAGGACTTTACTGGTGGACCAGGAGATGTGAGGCTCATGGCGGCAGAACCAGGAATGACCCAGGATGAGTGGCGTAGCCGGAGCCTGGATGACCAGGAAGTGGAGGGTCTCCCGGTGTTGGTCAATAGTCATGTGGAGACCCTGTGTTCGGTGGGTGAGAGGATACGGCATGATGGGCCGGCCGTCCACAGAGGTCACGGGAATGGGTCGGTCGAGGGCGGTGAGGGGTATCTTGAGCCGAGTAACCAGTCCGTGATCGATAAAACACTCCGCAGCCCCAGTGTCTAAAAGTGCCTCCAGTCTGGTCGGGCCTTGGTCCAGGTGGAGGGAGACCGGGAGAGTGGTTCGGTGTGGAGCCGGAAAGGTGGAGACTCCGGGCGGGACAGCTCCTACTCCGACCCGGAGGGACCTTTTCCCGGTCGTTTTGGGCACGTGCCACGGTGGTGACCCAAATCCCCACAGTAAGTGCATCTTCCCTCCTGGTAGCGCCGTGCCCGTTCCTCAGGGGGAAGATGTCCCAGCTGCATCGGCTCCTCCATCAGTTGGTGAGCCGGCCGGCGGGGTGACGTCCTGGTGTGTACGGGGGCTGACATGATGCTCGGCTGGTTCAGGATGCAGCGGTCGAGTTGGAGAGCCAGATCCACTGCCAGGTCCAGGGAGGTTGGGACCTCGTGCCCGATCATGCCCTCCCGGATTCTCGGTGACAGTCCCTCCAGGTAAACGGCCTTTAGGGCGGCGTCATCCCACCTCAACCGAGCTGCTGTCATCCGGAAGCGAGAGGTGTACTGAGCCGCCGTCTGGGAGCCCTGGCGAAGCTGAAGCAGCCGCGTCTCGTCCGAGACCTCGCTGCTGGGGTGCACAAAAGTCTTTTTCATCTCCTTTACAAAAGTCTCATAGTCATTGCAGGCAGGAGATTTCTGATTGTAAAGAGCCGCCGCCCATTCACCAGCTCGACCTGTCAGCAGTGAGGTCAGCAGGGCGACACGAGAGCAGGATGTGGGGTAACGTGCCGGTTGGCACTCGAAAGTCATGGCCAGGGTCGCCAACATGCCCTCCGGGGATCCCCTGGTTCCGTCCCACTTCTCTGGAAGGCTGAGGCGTGGTTCCATCCTGTCAGGAACAGCTGCGGTCTGACGTTGCAGAGCGGTGGTCAGCTGGAGTACTAGCTCGGTGAGTGACTCGATCTTAGTTGCTTGGCGATCAGCTATGGCACGGAGCTGGTTCATTTCTACCGTATGCTGATCCAAGGTTGCGCGCTGTTGAGCCACTTCGGCACGCAGACGCGCGAACTTCGCTGGGTCAACTTTTGGCTCAGTCATCCTGTCAGGTTCGTTGGCAGATCTGAAGCGTGACTGAGAGTTCTGTTGCCCAGACACGGAGAGACGGAGATAACCGGCGTGGTTATTTCCTGTAGGTGTAGCTTGAGGGTTTAGAGGGCTGGTAAGCCTGGAGACTCGATACAAAGTCTGGTGAGAAAGATGACTGAGCAATGAATGAAACGCCGGCACTTCCTTAAGTAGTGTCGGCGTGATGACGTCAGTCGCCACGTTAGTGGCAGGAATGAATGGAATGCAGTCAGCTGGAGGAGTTCGTGACACAATGGAGACAGCTACGTGAGGCGTGATGCCCAGAGAGCTGCAGAGACCGTCGGACACAACCTTGGCCTCCCTGACGTCTGTGTCTCCTGGTTTGGTTGGGGCGGACCATCGACATACATACATGTGCCGACACTTTGCGCCCTGTTTTATAAAATGTAGTGTTAAAAATAAATGTTTTTGCTCAATTACTGGAATTTCTTTGGTTAAGACAAAAGTGAGGAATAATCATTTACAAGTTATTTGTACAACAGGCCCATTATAAATCCCAACAGTTTCTTAGCAGACAATAGAAATGTGTTCTTTACTAACTTTACTTGGTTTGAAAATCTTACTAAAATAAACTTGAGTGCCGTATTGCAAAACCCAATCATACTTGTTATGTAAACATTAGCTTTGTAGATATTTTTTACAGATATATATTTGTGTGCAACAAAAACCAAACTTAAATAATTTGTCATTCTTTATTGAAAAACAACAAAATACAGGTATACAGAAGTGTGGGAAAATGATTATGTGAAAGTATTGCACTATAAATGAAGTGAGATGAGATGAAGGTGAGATGAAGGTGGACGCCAGCGGGCTGGACGCCGGACAAGGAAACCTGGAGACGGATCGCTCAGACAGGAAGGGAAGAGCTTCCTCTTACCTCGATGGAATTAAAGTTAGCCGTCGTCTGAACGCCCAACCGTACGGTCTGAGGTCAAAGGTCACAGGAAACACACACCAGTCAGCAGTCATACAGATGCATAAAGATAACTGTAGCCATGGCAACCAGCTGACATGTCCCCACTTTCACCAGCACCTGGTGCCTGCCGGGTCACCTGAATTTCTGTGTGATGTCAGCATGGTCGGCCGTGACTGCGGCCATCAGAGGTGACCTCTGATCAGCTGAATGAACTCACCTTCCAGGGTGACGCCATGTTAGAGTCGGCTTCATCCTGTAAACAAACAAACAAACAAATGAGTGGTAACAAAAACACCACGTCTGGTTCTGGTGGAGGCGGAGGACAACATGCACCTTTCCAGGAGCAGAACCCAGATGTTCTTGTTGCTACAAACAGAGACGAGCAGAGTTAAACCAGGAAGTGAGAGGGACCAGCTGCTGCAGACAGGTGACGCTCACCTGAGCCTGAACCATAGGAGCCTCCTCAGCCATCAGACCTTCAGACTCCAGTTCAGATGCCACCTTGTTGATGTCCCTCAGGCGGGACTCGTTGGCCTTCAGGTCCTGCAGGACAAAAGCACCTGCTGATTACCTTGTTGCTGTCAGGTTAACAGGTCTGGTGTTAGAACGTGGTGGATAAGAATGTTCTGACGGGCCGAGGGTTCTGAACTCACCCTGCAGGACTGGGCCTGCTCCTTCAGGGCCTGGATGCTGCTGCCGTAAGCCGACAGGTCCGACATCAGGGCCTCGTGCTTCTTCAGGAGAGCCTGTGGAGCAGAACTTCAGAACCTTCAGCTCGTCTGACACAAGTGGAGCTTTCTCGCAGCGATGGTCCAATCGGATCCGCCACCGTAAAACAAACCCTGCTCAGTTCACCGCAGACGCAGCTCTGCGGGTGTTTAGTGGAAAAGCGTGAGCCTTCTGCCGGCTGCCACGTGTCATGGCTGCTCTGCAGCGGGAACACACATCACAGCTTGTAAACCGTTTGAAATAAGAGCGCCGGGAACACGTTTGTCATCACTTCCTGTGCGAGGCCAGCACTTCTACCCCTAACCCATGAGACGCTCAAACGAGCAACGACGTCTGGTAGACAACCGAAGGAAATGACAAATACAGAAACACTAATTATGAAGGACTGGAAAGAGAGCAAAGAAAAGCGATTGGAGTTTCTCAGGAAGGGACTTCCATACCTCGGCCAAGTCCTCGTCTTTCCCTTAGTCTGGACTTCCAACGATGGGCTTCTTCTCCCTCATCCAGGACTCGGCCTCATTAGCATCCGCAAAGTACTGCTGGGCCTGCAGAGAGTCCTCCAGGTCCTGCCTCCTCTGGGACGCCTTGGCCTTCAGCGTGTCCCAACGTCCATGAAGCTCCCACAGTTTAGTCTTCACTTCCTCACCAGCGAAGTGACCTGGACCCAAAAAAAGTGAGCCAGAACCTGCAGACACCTCAGAAACATGTCAGGACCAGACCTGCTCTACCCTCCTCCACCATGGTCTCTCCTCTCTGGGTGACAGCCTTGATGCGAGGTTCATGACCTGTGATCTCAGCCTGCAGAGCCTGGTGCTTCTTCAGCAGGTTCTGGACACCAATCAGGTCCTTCCCTGAGGACACATGTTAGAGTTCAGCATTATGCAGTAAACAGACCAGTTTAACCCAGGGGTTTCTTTCTTCTACAATCTGCTCTTTAACTGTATTATTTCCTGCTATTTCAGCTGTTAACTTTATTTTTTCTCTAAGTGTTTTTCTCCCCAGAAGAAGCTACAATGGTGTTCTGCTGAGCTGTAGTGGCCTCATGGAGGGGGCCATCGGCTAGCACACTGCTGCTAACCACTTAAACATTCTCCCTCTCCTGATAATAACATTTTACTTTCTTTGATGTTGGATGTGCTACTGCTAGTTTACCCGTTTAATTATAGATTCACTATGATAAATACAATAAAGTTTATCTCTCGCCAAATAGAATATTTACTGTGGCGAGCCCGTGAAGAGGTGTAGGAGAATGCGACAAATTTGTCTGTTAAAAAGTCTGTTATGTACAAAAAACGCAATATCATCACACTATTTTGGACCGATACATGATAGGATACCACAGAACAGCTCTCCGCCCTCTGCTGTCCGGTCCGGGAATTGCTTTGCAACACTCCCCAGGAGACGGAGAAGTATGAGAGCTAAACGTCTCCATCTGTGCGTGCGTGTCTCTCCCTGTTGGAGCTGACAGAGAAGCATGAATCAGGCTTTATTGTAGCTGTCAATTGTTGCTTGATAAGCAGAAACTGTCACCTTCAAAACACCTCCTCTGCACAGGGGTTTCTTTGTAATTAGGAACAGGAATAAAGTTATAGAGGTCAGCAGGTAAAAAATCAGCTTAAATTAATTTCACCATTAGAACAAAGGATGTTGTGTAGGCGTGAGATCACCAAAATGATAGGGTCTTTTAAATCTTACTTTCAGATAAGCTGATGACGTTCAAAACTTACCTTGTCATTCCTACTTACCTGTTCTTCCCTTCTTGGAACAGGTTTTTTGACCTTAAAGGACGAGAAGATTGTAGGTACGGCTGTGTCCTTCAGGCAAACTCTCCCCTAAAATAAAAAAACATAATTACTTAATTTAAAAAAAAGAGATTCATATACACACACATCAGACAAGGTCAGCTTCTGAAGAACACACTGGTACACCAGAGCACTGTGTGTGTGAGTGAATGTGCTTGCATGTGTGTGTGTGTGTGTAAAAGGCATGTGTAGTGTTTGTTATTTATAAAGCATATGTTGTTGGATTTTATCCAGAATCGAGACTTTGAAAATATATAGTTTAATTACAGTTTGATTTATTTGACATCTGTATAATGTTTATTATTTTGTTTTTTCCCCCTAAATGCCTAACATTTTAGTTTAACATGAATATTTGTCATTCATCCAAATACATAAAGTTACACATTAAAGACTGTCCAAAAATTAAATTGTTTCTCTGAGTAATTGACCATAGAATTATATGGAAATTAATAACATGATTGTTTCTCATCTAAACAGCCCTAGTCACAGACAATTCAAGGGTGGGGAAGATTTTCTTCTAGTTACACAGCAATGTAACGTCGGTATGTTATACAGCTAATGCTTCAATTTTTTAAATCTCAACCAAAATATGAAGTAATGTGTTTGTACCCTGGCGTCCGTGGTGAAGTGATGACTCTCAAAGTGTTCACTGCACAAGCGGGAGAATGAATTGGGAGTCCAGCACTCTCTTTTTTGGTTGCTCACCCAAAGGTCAAGCCTCTCTGGATCACCTAGAGGAAAACTTCATACAAAGAACTAATTAAGTATATGGCTTTAAAATACTTACCGGAAATTACTGACTCGTGCGTACTGCAATATAAGCCTCACCCCCCACCCCCACCCCCCACCCCCACCCCCCCAAAAAAAGAGCAAGTTTATCTGATGGCATACAGACTTCTAACATCAAGCACTAACTACCAACTCACCGAGTTGCAGTATATCTACGGTCAGGTCCGGCTTGGGGAGAAAATATGACACGTCTTTCAGGATGGACCTCATCTTTAGTAGCTGGCGAAGCCGGGAAAAGCAGGATCTAACCACCTGGCTAATGTGGGAGTCCATCCGCATCTCTGGGTCCAAAACCACCCCCAGGTTAGTGATGGTTGGCTTCACTAAGCTGCAAAAACAGGGTTGCAGGACAGGACTAACTGCAGTGGGAGAGGGAGGAACAAATATTCCAGTTATAAATATTAAATATTTGAACAAATAAATATTTGTTAAAAGGAAGAAACTGATGATGACTTTAAGATTAGAGGAATGTTCTAGAACGGGTCTGGAACCAACGATGGCCCTTTGGATCAAATTTGGATTAAAAAAATAGCTCATGATTTTATTTATGGATGGAATAAAAATACAGGTTGTAAGCATCTTCTCAGTATCTTCATGTTGCACGACTTTCCACAGCAGAAGGACACAAAAACTGCCAGAATTATGATTAGATAGATTTACGTTTTAATCTCAGAATCCCAACTTTTCCCAGAATCTTCACATTATTCTATGAATTCAGAGAAAATATACATTTTTCAGAGGTCTCGCTCCCCTGTTGTGGATATTTCTCAAAATTCAACATTTTTTTCTTTTCAAAAGCTTTAGTAAGAGTTTGGACTCTAAACAAGTTTTACTTTGCAGACTGCTTGTCTACACCTTCATCAGATCTGCTCATAATAAAACATTTGGGTTATATTTAATGTCTAGAGAAGATGCTCTTCCTGGGCATTAAGTTATCAAAAACAGATAAAAGTATTTTTTACCATAATTTTAACTGCTATCAGCTGATAAAAATAATAAAAAACAGCCTGATCATTAAAGGGGTGTAAGTGAAACCGCGCGGATCACACAAACCATCATGCTGTCTATGACTTTGAAAATATATAGTTTAATTACAGTTTGATTTATTTGACATCTGTATAATGTTTATTATTTTGTTTTTTCCCCCTAAATGCCTAACGTTTTAGTTTTACATGATTAGTCATTCATCCCAATACATAAAATTACACATTTTAAATTTTAATAGGGGAAGACTGCAGGAGGGAGCGGTAAAATACAGAAATCCCCAGCAAAAACAAGAAACTTTACGAGTCTGATGAAACCCGCTGGTATTCCTTCAGCAGGCCTGGTGGCAGCTACGACGACCCAGTGGCTTTGCTTGGTCAATGTTATCGAGCTCAGTCCGGCTCGGCCGTGAACGAGCCGAGGCGACATCCTGCTCTGCTTAAGAAGAAGTGTTATTTTCCGCTTCAGAAGAAGCGTCCGTGTTTTACGCTTTCTCAGAGACATGTCACGTTGCTAAGTTGTTAGCGCCGCGCGCTAACACGTCAATAGTGCAGCATAGCCTGCTGGAGGTTTTAAGGGTTCAGATGAAAACACCCTACCACTCAGGCTGCTTACACATCGATATTAAGTTGTCGCTGTTGCGCTCACGCCGTAATACGGTATTAGATGCGGTTAAAGTCAGACATGAAAAACTCCACGAGCGGTCAGACCGCGCAGCAGCTAGGCGCAGCAAGTAGGCGCCGGATCGGTCAGGCTGCCCGGCCTGACCGCTGGGGATTACCGGATGGAAGAATGGACACAGAAGTCTCCCTCTTAGCGCTCCGTCATATTTCAACCCATTTTTATCTTTAATGCACTGGGTTTTACCCTATTACCCATCTAAATATGCCCTATTAATTATTTTACCGTATTTTACATTTAAATTTCATGGTTAAACAGTACATGCTACATGTTAAACTGATAGTTAGCTAGCTACTTCGGTAAACTCAGCTAGTTTAAAGGCAGCAGTGACATAAAATACAAATATAGATTTTAACTTACCGAAAAAAAATGAAGTGGAGACTCCTTGGACGCTCTATTAGTGCAATTAATACCACTGCAAGTCATTTTGTCCAACAATTGCACCAATAATATCCAAAACAGAATTCACAATTACAGAGACTCAAAATCCCGTAACAGCTTCCAGGAGGGGCCGAGGCTGTACTGAGGCCTTTCCACGGAGCTAGCTCTGTGGTCACGTGGGTCTGAGGCGGCGGTCACATGTGTTGGATGCTCATTAATTATACAGAATTTTAGGCTTTCAATACACTTAAACAGAAGAGTGAGAAAAAAATTCACCCCCCTCAGAGTTGTCATGAGTATAAACTAGATAATTTAGACAAAAAACATGTTTTGGTACCAGGCTGTAAACATGTTTATTTCTGCTGTGAAATCGGCATTTTTAACATGGGAGTCAATGAGGATTTGCTCGCTTCTGGCACCAGCCCCCAGCGGATGAGGGTGGAACTGCAATTTTTCTTACTTTCGGGTTGGGACCATTTTTAGAGAGGCATTGTGGGGGCTTGATAGTAACAATGCAGTTTCTGTTACTGATGCAATGCAGATGCAACACTATAATCCAGCCAGCGAGGTTTTTTTGAAGCTTTCATCATCTGATCGAAAGCTAAAGGGGTGGATGTTTACATCCAATCACGTCACAGTCAGTGAGCTACAAGGAAGGTGAGACCGCAGGACTTCCCATGAAGAAAGTTCCCCAGTTCAACACTCAGATATCAGCTCGTTCATTCCTTCCCACGCTCTGATCTTCCTAGAACACCCTCCAGTAATCCAACTGGAAAAACTAAGAGTTTCTGATCCTTTCCTTAGTTCGGCTGTAACATAGACTCTGTCAGAATGGGTCCCCGGCGTTAGAGCAAACTGCATGTCGTTAACACCCAGCACTTCCGTTTAATAATCACCAGTTTTTTGGGTATTAGTGGACTAATGGTGTCATGCACCAGGATGCAGCTGTACTAATATACCCACCATTCATCCAAAGGGGTTTAAATGAAGGCAACTGGACTTATTTGTTTCCTTGAAGATGTTTCGCTTCTCATCCGAGATCCAGAATAGACCATTTCTCAGTGAATGAGCCCTTTAAAATTGCTTTAGCACTCCAGATTTAGAAAGGTTCAGTTATGTTACAAGTTATTTTAATAAAGATTATGGTTTATTGTTAAACATTTGAAATGTACATTTTAGAGACACTTTGTCCATTCTACAGAAAGTATGGACAACGTTTTTGTTTTGTTTGTTTCTTTTTGGATGAATTTGCTCATGGCCATTGCAGTAATTTAAAAAAAATCATGTTTAATGTAGTTTGTGTACTACCATGTCGAGTACCTTCTGGACTGAAGGTCTCTAGCCATTCCTTTCCCATAAGACATGAATGCAGCATCAGCGGGTAGTGGTGACACACACAAACAGTGCTACAAGCCTGTGGTTCTGAGCAGCATGCTGATTGGGCCAAATAGAGGGTGTGTGGAGAGCGTGGGCAGTGTTTAACAGATGTTAGTTGAGCAGGAGATTCTAGTTTTTGGGGTAGGCTTGACCGAAAACTGTGCTCATCTCCAGACATGTGTCACAGTGACGATGCATGAAATTCTGTGAGTTTCATGGATATCCAACACATTGAATTCAATTCAATTCAAGTTTATTTAAAATGCGCCAAATCACGACAAGAGTCGTCTCAAGGCACCTCACATAGTAAACATTCCAACACAGGTCAGTTCATTAAGGCGATCAGTAAAAAGTTTCCTCTATAAGGAACCCAGCAGGTTGCATCGAGTCACTGACTATGTTTCTTTGCAAAAATAAAGACAAAGAAGGATAAAGTAAATTCATAGCAGGAACAGTATTTGCCAACAAGACAATATAACAAGAACATAAAAAAGCTGTCTTGTTTTGTCTGTTTTCATTATTTTTTTACATAAACACTAGCCAAAATTCCTCCGATTTCTCAGCTGAGGCAACTTCTACAAAACTCCTTCTGCTGACTAAAAAACCTCAGTTACAACGATTAATACTGCAGTCCAAACATAATGATTTATATTTAAAGCTCTGGCAATCATCATTTTGGTTTGCTCTAAATACGAGTCCAACCCCGCTGCAAACTCATTTCATTCACGGTCTAAATATAGCCTCAGCTCTAAAAGTTTTTTCCAGCAAACAGGCCAGCGTTTCCGTGAAAAAGAAAGGTTATGATAAACAGATTTCATAGTCATAAATCTACTGAATTCAGTCAGCCACAGTCAGATGCCTGCTTGTCTGTTTTGGGTCTCTCACACACGACCGTCAATGGTTTCCCCATGTTCGTTTAATGAGGCGCCTCAGTTGTGCCGATGGTCCGTTGGTCTTGGACTTTGAATCCTGCGCTGGAACTGAGCCACTCTTCAGCTCCTTACACTTCTGATGTTGAGTGATGGAAGTTTAAGGAGTTTTAACAGAAAATCACTAGTTGTTGGTTTGTGGAGTTTGCGTTTAATTTCAAACTGTGCTTTGCTCAGAGAAAATCCACAAACTTCAGGCACTCAGGATTGGTAGGGAGGGATATCTGTCTCTAAAGTTCTACGGCCAGGCATGGCTGCATGGAGAGACCACTGATCAGAATGTGTGCAGTTCAAACCCCAGACCCACAGATCATCTTCTTGGTCAAATTTTCTTCAGCAAGACTCTAAAGTCTGAAGTTGCCACCCCAGAGCTGTACAGATGCCCCTGGGGTCAAAATGTAGACACACAAATTTCCCCAAGGGGATAATGAAATTATTGTCAATGTTTGTTTGTATTGTTTGCTGGATCTTGGACTTTAGTGATTGCATTTTGAACTTTACATCAGGTGCTGTGATATAATTGTCTTGTAATTTAGAAAATATGAAAAACTTTGTATCAGTGGGTCCTCTGGAGCTTTGAGACTTTAGTGCAGTTCCCAGTGCTGAACCAGTCATTTCCTGCTACTGGCACATCGGAACCATGGTATGAAGAATGATGCTGCTTCACACTGCGCTGTGTCAAACCATCGGCCACGTTACTAGTATTTACTGAAAAAGAAATCCCATCATGTCTTTGAGGTCTTTCAGAAGGCTTCGACCTTGTGTTCCTTCCTCAGGCTCCACCGGTCTGCAGTTATTGTGCGAGGCATCCACAAGTGTTACTGCTGAAAAGAGTTTCTCCAAAGCATCCAAGTGCATTTCCCTGCCAGTGTTTTTCCTCTAACCTTTGAACACTCTGTCATAGTGGTTAGCAGACCTTATTGTCACAGTACAAACCAGACATTGTGCAGCAGTAATCTTCTTATTTACTTCTCTATATAATGCTATTTAAAGACATTCATTTAAAGGAGCCATGAGTAAACTGTCATCATAGTTTCATTCTTTCTGTTACAAGACTTTTACAGTTAAGTGTACCTTTCTAAGTGTTTTTGTGTCAGCAGACTGCATTCTGCATCCAAATTATGTCATATAAGTTATTTTACTGGAGCTGACGTTTTCATTGCTGCCACAATGACGGGCCGATTGTAAAGAAATGTGCTCGAAAATTACTACTGGACCACATTTTGCTTTCAAATAATATCAAAATATTTTATTTAGAATCAATTCGAAAAATAAAACATATAAATTTTGAATCAATTAAAAAAAGTGTTTCTCTTAAACTAAACAATTAGCTAACATCCAAATGTAAAGTGTTGTAAAGTGGATGTAGCCTTTCAAAATAAATTCCAGCATCTTCTATGTTAAGATTGTGTCAGTTCATTAAAGCTTGGATCCTTCATCAGTGGTCTGGTCTGTTCTCTTCCTGGACACTGATAAACGATCCATGGACTCACACTTTTACAGTCGAGGAGTTGATAGAGGATCAATAAAGGGTCTCTTCACTTTGCTTTTATTTTCTTATGCTACTTCCATTTGATGACAGGTAGCTAAATAATTATTGCAACACCACTGATTTTAACACCCAAATTCTACAAATATGATGTAAAATATACACTGAGGTTTAATCCAAACATTTAGATTTAACAGTTAACATTCAAATGTTTCTAAGTTAATTATTTTGCATTAAAATTGCATCCAAAATGTTTAGTTGTAACTATATATATATATATATATATATATATATATATATATATATATATATATATATATATATATATATATACTCCTCCTTGAACCGTCACCTTATCGTGGTGGAGGAGTTTGAGTGCCCTAATGATCCTAGGAGCTATGTTGTCTGGGGCACTTAGTGCCCCTGGTAGGGTCTCCCATGACAAATTGGTCTTAGGTGAAGGGTGAGACAAAGAACGGTTCGAAGGATCTTTCATGGCGGTTAAAACGAAGAGTCGGAGTACCCGGCCCGGAGGGTTACCGGGGTCCCACCCTGGAGCCAGGCCTGGGGTTGGGGCCCGTGAGCGAGCGCCTGGTGGCCGGGCTTTCGCCCATGGGGCCCGGCCGGGCCCAGCCCGAACCGGATACATGGGCTCGTCCAACTGTGGACCCACCACCCGCAGGAGGAACATGAAGGGTCCGGTGCAATGCGAATCGGGTGGCAGACCAAGGCGGGAGCCTTGGCGGTCCAATCCCCGGACAAGAAAACTAGTTTTTGGGACATGGAACGTCACCTCGCTGGCGGGGAAGGAGCCGGAGCTTGTGGCAGAGGTTGAGCGGTACCGGCTAGATATAGTCGGACTCACCTCGACACATTGCATTGGCTCTGGAACCCGAGACCTGGAGAGGGGTTGGACACTCTACTTTGCTGGAGTTGCTCCGGGTGAGAGGCGGAGGGCTGGGGTTGGCTTTTTGTTAGCCCAAAGACTCTCTGCCTGTGTGTTGGGGTTTACCCCGGGGGACAAGAGGGTAGCTTCCTTGCGCCTTCGGGTCGGGGAACGGGTCCTGACTGTTGTTTGTGCTTATGGGCCAAATATCAGTTCAGAGTACCCACCCTTTTTGGAGTCCCTGGTACGAGTGCTAGATAGTGCTCCATCAGGGGACTCCATTGTCCTGCTGGGGGACTTCAATGCTCACGTGGGCAATGACAGCTTGACCTGGAGGGGTGTGATTGGGAGGAACGGCCCACCTAATCAGAACTCGAGCGGTGTTTTGTTATTGGACTTCTGTGCAAGCCGCAGTTTGGCCATAACGAACACCATGTTCGAACATAAGGATGCCCACCGGTACACTTGGTACCAGGGCAGCCTAGGTCACAGGTCGATGATAGATTTTGTAGTCGTATCATCTGACCTGCGGCCGTATGTTTTGGACACCCGAGTGAAGAGAGGGGCGGAGCTGTCAACTGATCACCACCTGGTGGTGAGTTGGATCAGATGGCAAGGGAACATGCCGCGTAGACCTGGCAGACCCAAACGCATAGTGAGGGTCTGCTGGGAACGCCTGGCAGAAGAACCTGTCAAGACGGTCTTCAACTCCCACCTCCGGCAGAGCTTTGACCACGTCCCGAGAGCAGTGGGGGACATTGAGTCCGAGTGGGCCTTGTTCCACTCTGCGATTGTCGAGGCGGCTGTTGCTAGCTGTGGTCGTAAGGTGGCCGGTGCCAGTTGTGGTGGCAACCCCCGTACACGCTGGTGGACACCAGAGGTTCGGGGAGCCGTCAGGCTGAAGAAGGAGGCCTACAGGGCGTGGCTGGTCTGTGGGTCTCCGGAGGCAGCAGACAGGTACCGGATAGCCAAGCGGGGTGCAGCAGTGGCAGTTGCCGAGGCAAAATCTCGGGCGTGGGAGGAGTTTGGTGAGGCCATGGAGAAAGACTATCGATCGGCTCCAAAGAGGTTCTGGCAAACTGTCCGGCGCCTCAGGAGAGGAAGGCAGCAACTCGCTCACACGGTTTACAGTGGGGATGGGGAGCTGCTGACGTCAACTGAGGCTATAGTCGGACGGTGGAAGGAATACTTTGAGGAGCTCCTCAATCCCACCAATGCGCATTCCGAGGAGGAACCAGAGCTGGGAGGCCTGGGGATGGACTGTCCGATCTCGGGGGCAGAAGTTGCTGAGGTAGTCAAACAACTACACAGCGGCGGAGCCCCGGGGGCGGATGAGGTTCGTCCTGGGTATCTCAAGGCTATGGATGTTGTAGGGCTGTCATGGTTGACACGTCTCTACAACATTGCGTGGTCATCGGGGGCAGTTCCTAGGGAGTGGCAGACCGGGGTGGTGGTCCCCATCTTTAAGAAGGGTGACCTGAGGGTGTGTTCCAACTATAGGGGGATCACACTCCTCAGCCTCCCTGGAAAGGTCTACTCCAAGGTACTGGAGAGGAGGGTCCGATCGATAGTTGAATCTCAGATAGAGGAGGAGCAATGTGGTTTTCGTCCTGGCTGTGGAACTGTGGACCAGCTCTATACCCTTGCAAGGGTGATGGAGGGGGCAAGGGAGTTTGCCCAACCAATCCACATGTGCTTTGTGGATTTGGAGAAGGCTTATGACCGTGTCCCCAGGGGCACCCTGTGGGGGACGCTCCAGGAGTATGGGGTGGGTGGCTTTCTGTTAAGGGCCATTCAGTCCCTTTACCAGAGGAGCGTGAGTTTGGTCCGCATAGCCGGTAGTAAGTCGGACCTGTTCCCAGTGAGGGTTGGACTCCGCCAGGGCTGCCCTTTGTCACCGGTTCTGTTCATCACTTTTATGGACAGAATTTCTAAACGCAGCCGTGGTGTGGAGTGTGTCGAGTTTGGTGGCAGGAGAATCTCGTCTCTGCTTTTTGCGGATGATGTGGTCCTCCTAGCTTCATCCAGCTCTGACCTTCAGCTCTTGCTGGGTAGGTTCGCGGCCGAATGTGAAGCGGCTGGGATGAGGATCAGCACCTCCAAATCTGAGACCATGGTTCTCGACCGGAAAAGGGTGGCTTGCCACCTCCGGGTCGGGGGAGAGGTCCTACCTCAAGTGGAGGAGTTTAAGTATCTCGGGGTCTTGTTCACGAGTGAGGGTAGGAGGGATCAGAAGATCAACGTCTGCAGTGATGCGGACGCTGAGCCGATCTGTCGTGGGGAAGAGGGAGCTGAGCCAGAAAGCCAGGCTCTCGATTTACCGGTCGATCTACGTCCCAATCCTCACCTATGGTCATGAGCTTTGGGTAATGACCGAAAGAACGAGATCGCGGATACAAGCGGCCGAAATGAGTTTCCTCCGTAGGGTGGCCGGGCTCAGCCTTAGAGATAGGGTGAGGAGCTCGGACATTCGGGAGGGACTCGGAGTAGAACCGCTGCTCCTCCGGATCGAAAGGAGCCAGTTGAGGTGGTTTGGGCATCTGGTCAGGATGCCTCCTGGACGCCTCCCCGGGGAGGTGTTTCGGGCATGTCCTGCCGGCAGAAGGCCCCCGGGTCGACCAAGGACACGTTGGAGAGGTTACATCTCCAATCTGGTCCGGGAACGCCTTGGGGTCCTGCCGGAGGAGCTGGTGGACAAGGCCGGGGAGAGGACGGCCTGGAGCTCCCTAGTTGGGATGCTGCCCCCGCGACCCGGACCCGGATAAGCGGAGGAAGACAAAGACGAAGACGATTATATATATATATATATATATATATATATATATATATATATATATATATATATATTGCCTCTGTCAGTGCGCCCTAGGGCAGCTGTGGCAACATCGTAGCTCATCACCATCAGTGTGTGAATGCGTGTGTGAATGGATGAATGATACATTGTAGTGTAAAGCACTTTGGGGTCCTTACTCTGAGAGGTGCTATACAAGTGTGGGTCATTTATCATTTATCGTTTATATTCAGATTGTATTGTAAAATTTTAGACATCAAGTTGCGCATTTATATATTTCTCTCTAAATATGAATAAATAACTAAATATTCAGATGGAACAAGGAACACAAACACCAAAGCGACATCTAGTGTGTGGAGGTTGTAGTTGCAACAATTAAACAAGGTTCCCAGCCATGGTGAGACCAGGTTCGCTGCCTGTAACTGGGTCCATCTGTCGAAGGCTTCACCTAAACTCACTCTGGCTTTAGGTCTTTAATATATAATAATAATAATAATAATAATAATAATAATAATAATTTTATTAATATTATTAAATAGTTCCATATTCGACCTTTAATTCTAAAATTGCATTTAAACTTTATTATGTAGATTCTGGACATTTATACGTGATGCTGTTTATTTTTACATGAATGTGGGAAAGTGTCTTCAGAGATTTCACACCCCGTTTTTTATTTATTTACTTTTTGCTTGTTTTTTTAAGGAGCTGATGTACATGTGAATAAAATAAGTTGTTATGATGCTAGGTGTATAGCAAAAGGTAGCTAAAAAGCCTGTGATAAATGTAGCTGTTAAAATGTTAAATATGTCCAAATGTACCCATTAGTGCATTATTTTTATCTGCCAATTTGCAATAAGCAAGACCTACTGCAGCCTAACAAAACATACATGTGGGACACTGGAGAAATACCGTTATAATTTCATATTACCGAGTTGTTTTAGCAAACATTGTGGATCCATTTAGAGCTGTCTCATTGTGCATGAATGCTGCTACATGGGTCCAGTTTTATGACAAAAAGGAGACTTTAACTGGACACTCCCCTAAAACCTTGGACGCGGTCCTCTTCGTCTCCGATTGGCCGTGAGTCCCCACCGACAACACCTGCTAAACTCCTTCATCCAAATTGACACCCGGGGTTCTGAGAAATATAGGCTGCATCCTTCCAGCTCATGCATTCAGTCTCACAGCTGCTCCATGACACACCAAGCTGCAGCTGCGCTGGTTGCTGATCCAAGGTGAACTCTCTCTCTCTCTCTCTCTCTCTCTCTCTCTCTCTCTCTCTCTCTCTCTCTCTCTCTCTCTCTCTCTCTCTCTCTCTCTCACACACACACACACACACACACACACACACACACACATACACGCGCGCGCGCACACACACACACAACCGGATCTTTGCTGGGAAGCAGACGGAGGCGCACTGCCGGGAGACGCAATGTTGGTGAAGCTGGCCGCGGTGCTGCTGGTTTTTTCGGTGCTGGAACAAGTAGTAGGATCGGATAATATTGATTTTCACGACCTCCCTCCGGAGAAGCCTGCGAGCCACAAAGGACGCCTGTCTCTGCAGAATACAGGTAAGTACCTGGAGAGATGAGGGCTTTTGGCCGCTGCTCTGAGCGTCCTGACACGTGTTCCTGGAGTCGCACATCACAGCGTGCGGGCGATTTGTCCGATTTGATCATTTTGGCTCAGAAATTCTGATGTTTCACGTGAACGAGATGGCGCTTTCCAATTCCCACGAAAGGTGATATTTTGTAAATACTCCCAGACGGAAATCCAATATGTTAGTAAACTATTAATAGAGGGGCACAAGGTAATAGGTAACCCATACGGCAGCGCGTAGGTGAGCGCGCGCCTTGGGAACATGCCAACCTATAGGTGACTCTCGACAGCTATCTGAAGAAAGTTGGCTGATGAGAAATTGATGATGATTTATTGACCATAATAGGTCTTTGTAATGTTGAAATGACTAAAAGACTCTATCACGTCAGAGCGCATTCTTCTCCACACACCTTATTTCTTCTGAAGAGGTCAGTAAACCTGCATCAGGTTGTTACAAGTCTTCGTGTCTCTTCCTTTCTGAAAGAAAATAACATAATAATAATAATAATAATTGTCAATTAAGTGAGGAAAACAGAGGAGAAACTCCTGCCTGCGCTCTGAAAACACAAATCACTGTGTAATTCAATGCACGCTGCTGCGGCCGAGCTGTACAATCCAAGCACATTCCCGCGATGCCAAAACAAGCACTGCTGACAGCGACTCACTTCTCTCGCGCACTAAAGTTCAACTCATCCCTTCCTCACCCCCACCCACCTTGCTTTACTGACCCCCTTCCACCTCCAAACAGAGGCTCTTTGTTGACCAGCTTGATTTCTAATAATAAGACCCCTCTTTCGCAGTTCTTGCGAATGAAACAGTAACGTTTTCAATCCCAGACAAATCATCTGCTTCGGTCGTTCTGAAGCCAAACTATAACTCTGGACAACCTGTTGGTTTAGGAATCAGTTTTAATGGAGAAACTGCATCCAAAGGTCATCTGGGCCCTCCTCCTGTCCATCATCACTAGTGGTGTGGCTTTTTCAGAAAACAACTGAAGTCCATACAGCAATGGTGCCGAGAGACTTGTTGATCCACGTGTTCCAGAGCAGACCATGAGGGATGGTTGAATCTGTGAGGCTGTATCTGCAATGCAGCATCCCATCTGAATGCCAGTGCAGATGACTGTGGTGCAGAATGACACACCAGGTGTCCTTCTGCAGAACCCCTTGCAGTCTGAAGAAATTAGACTTCTTCCCCCTACAATTTGCATGCCTCCTTATTCTTCTTGCAGTTATACACCTCATAAGCTCGGTGAGTGCAGCTGAAGTGAAGCTGTGCCTTTGAGGTGTTCAGCAAACCTTTAGTAAACCAAACTGCTGTGAACAGATGATAAATTCCCTCCCTTAACACGCTCTCTCCCATTCCTCCCCCGTCAGCGGAGATCCAGCACTGCCTGGTGAGTGCTGGGGATGTTGGCTGTGGTGTGTTTGAGTGCTTTGAGAATAACTCCTGCGAGATACGAGGGCTACAGGAAATCTGCATGACGTTCCTGCACAACGCTGGCAAATTTGACTCTCAGGTAGGAAGAGAAACTGTGTTATTGACAGGATTGCATTTTTTACTGCTTCCTACTTGGACTTGGTGATCATTGTGAATATTTCTAAAACGTCTGCTACATAACATAACATTTGTTTTCAGATGTGCAATCTTGAGTACACGTTCCATGTTCAACCTCTGATGCCTCCAGCTGGCCTGGGGCCCAGCTAGCTCACTTTTCATGCACAGCAGAGGTTGAAACCCTGCCAAAAACACTTGTGTAGAGTGTTAATACGCTAATAAGGTCACAACCTATAAATTTACATTGCAGACTAAACAATTGCGCTAGCTGATGCTTTCAAATAAACTCAAAAGCTGCTAAAGCAGGTGCATCCCAAAGCGTACCAAAGTGGCCCCAGAGTGCTCTGTGTTTGGATTCTTATCTGCTGCATTTGGCCAGAAAACTTCTCGTGACTTTGTCTCCATGTGCATTAGGGGAAGTCTTTCATCAAGGATGCCCTGAAGTGTATGGCACACGGTCTACGGCACAAGTTCAGCTGCATCAGCAGAAAGTGTGTGACCATAAAGGAGATGGTGTTCCAGCTCCAGAGAGAGTGCTACATCAAACACAACCTGTGCTCAGCTGCTAAGGAGAACGTGGCCGTCATGGTGGAGATGATCCACTTTCAAGACCTTTTCCCCAAAGGGTGACTGCTCCAAGTTAATTTTGACACTGACTTGTCTCTTTTCTATGATCCCACCTGAAATGTTCTTCTAATTCAAAGTAGACAAATGCATTGACACACTTTAAAATGTTGAATCACCGGACTGATGTGAGTAATGCACCTCTCTCTTTCCAGTCCTTACGTGGAACTGGTGAACATTCTCCTCAGCTGTGGAGAGGAAGTGAAGGAGGCTCTGACGCGGAGTGTCCGGCTGCAGTGTGAGCAAAACTGGGGGGCGCTCTGTGACAGCCTGAGCCTCTGCTCCTCCCTTGTCCCATCCCCTGCCAGTTCCCCTGTTGAACACCACCACCGCCATGCCTTGCCTTCCCTCCTTGAGCCGGAACACCCTCGCCCCCCACGGCTAGGTGATAAGGACAGACCTGGTAAAGCGGCTTTAAACACTCATCCACGAAGTCGCAGTCCAGGACCCCGTAGACATGGTACAGAAGCTGGAGTGATGGCTGAGCAGGAAGACCCCAAGGCCACTGAAATCCAGAGGTGAAGGCTCAAGTGACCTTTCACCCTTCTCCCCCTCAAAATCTGAAACCCAGATTAAGCCCCCCCCCCCCCCCCCCCCCACACACACACACACACACACACACAACTAAAATCCCTGACAGACTAAGCAGAAGGAAAAAAGCCCCGACCGCTCCTGTTCTCTTCCTCTTCTCCAGTCATTCCAGCAGCCCCACATGGTAAACTTGCAGGGTAACTGTGGTGTAGACCTTAGGCCACAGTTTTATTTTCTTCTTTGTTTTTTTAACTGAATAACAAATGTTTTATCATGATTATTTAAACTGTTAGAACTATTTTGGCTCTAATATAGCATTTCTCAAACAATTACGTTCTCTAAGATTCGATTATATTTGTACTATTTATTTTATTCTTTATGCAATGTTGAAATATCAAAATGTACATAGAAATATACTTATCTATATTTATATGATCATGTATAAATATAGCTACAATATGCAAGACTGATATGCTATTGATGACAAAGTAAGTAGTAGTAAAGGTGTTGCTGTCGTTCTCTTCACAGTGGTGCACCTATCGTACGTCAGCCTGTAGATATGTAAAATACACCAGTTGCTGTTTCAGAGTGTGAATGTGCATTTTAACTCTAGATACTTGATAAATATACATACATTTGTACAAGTTTGGTCCAGTTCTGGCACATATGATGTTTAGTGCATAAAATGGCCAAGAAATGTGTGCATACATAAATCACTCTAAAAGGAAAACATAAAAAAGTATTTCACAGCTAAATATTCTGCTAAATTATAACATAAGACAGTTAAGATTGCTTTTGATGTTGTCCAGCATAGCTTTTTCTGCTCAGTAAAGAATGTGAAGCAACAAACTTTGATATTTGGACCCAAAAGTTTCAGAAACGTTGGATAAACCTAGATGTGTGTTTCACTTTCATGCAAAAATGAACTGATGGAGCTTCAGAAGCAGAGTAAACGTTGTCTTAGACGGTTGGCCGTCGGCTGCCTGTGACCTGAAGCCTACAGAGGATGATCCGTCTCAAATGTAGGAACTGTAAAACATGGAGGTGCCTAATCGTGGTGATGTCCTCGACCGCTTCTCTGTGATTTATGTGAATGGAGGGCACTTTGTCATTTAATGTTGACCTATTTTTTCTGATTGAGCCACACGAGTCTTAGAATAATTCTTTTTGCACTTTGGACGATCAACGGTTTGTGTTGGACTGAGAAAGCAGTCCACAGTAACAGACCCTGGAATGAGAGGCTGTATTTTATCTGGACAGCCTTATCAGTGACAAGTCCTGCCTCACCATGGCTCTTTAAGACGAGAACGAGCTTCCTTCTGTAGTCGAACCACACCACCCTGCTTTGGCATCCCATAACATCCAGGAAACAGGCCTGACAGAAACCTTACAGATCCCTGCCTGTCTCTAAATTAGCCCTTATTCCTCTCCGGTCTCCAGGCCAGACACGAAGACCTGTTATTTTGCCCGTTAGAGCCGCAGACAGCGCAGCGAGGACCCAGGAAATGGTTCTACCTCCACACACAGGGGCTCTGGTGTTGTTATTCTAAATGTTATATTTACTGAGGCCACCAGAGAATTCCTCTGGGCCATCGCCAAGAACCAGCAACACAGGGAGGCAAGGAGGAATAAAATCAAGACGGAGAGGGACACAGCGTCTCCTCTTACTCTTCTTCTCTTGGCCATTTCAGGGCAGTCACGTGCCTCAGCTGGAGTATGTGAGCCCATTACACCTCATGCTGAGGAGAGCTCTTTTTAAAAAGCAAAAAAACACTGAAATTTAGTTTGGTCATAAGTGTTTTTCAGTTTTTTTCCCTCCCAGACATTTGAGGACTGTTACAAGCGAGGCCTCCAGGCTTTTGTTGCGTATTCTGTCTTTGACTCTGTTGTGGAAGTTGGGATTGCTGTGATATCCCAACAGAAGACATAAGCTAATCCTATTGAGAATGTACTGTAAGTGTTTCAAGTGACAATCTGTTGCTCTCTGTCATTAGGTTGAAAATGTTTTTATTTTTCTTTATTTTGCAATAATTAGTCGCTTGAATGGCTTTATGTATGTGTTTAAAGGAAAATAAAACTAATCATGTTCCCGAATTCTCGGGGTTTCATCCATTTCCCTGCTGCAACACAAACAGTTAGGAACAGATTCATAACGTATGGTAAAATAAATCTCTTGAGCTCCTGAAACTGGATGAATCATCTCATCTGAGCATTTGTGAGGGCCTAGGGAGGTTCATCCAGCCACACGGGTTAGCAGAGAAGGCACTGATGTCTCAGGTGTACACACCAGTTAAAAGACACCGTATTCTCATCTGACTCGCAGCCTCCTTTTTCTGACAGTGAAATACAGGCTGTGTTTAAAGTTTCAAGGACTGGAAATATCCTCCCATTTGGGAGGCCTAAACATTTACGTCAGCTGCTCTGGATTGTGTGCAATGCAGGAGGTGGGTTTTGGGTGTCAGTTTTTATGAGTTGTCCCAACAGTGTACATTGCTTCACCAAACATTTAGACAGCTTTCTAATTTAACATTTTGCCTTCTTACTGTTTTCTTCCCTCCTTTAACGGGCTCGAGGTTGCTAGCCTACAGAGGAGCCTTGTAGGGGATCCACGTATGCAAATCCCACCCTCTCTTATACACTTTGCCTGTCATTTGACTGGGAAGAAGCAGGGCTACATACCATGTCATAACATACCACACAGCTTCTGTAACAGCAGCTTGTCTGCAGCACAGTCCGTTCCTGGCTTGCATGCTGTTTCAAAATGCTGCAAGATTAGACGTGCAATGCTTCCAAACTACCACTAGATGGCGATATATTCCTTCAAATGGGCACAAGCAGCTAGAGGAAGCAGGTGGCATTTTCAACAAGGCTGAGCTGAATCACAAATTGAAGCTACAAAATATTTAGGAGCCAAAATTTAAAGGTTACATTGGAAAAGATTCACATTTTGATTTCTCCCCAAAACATTGTTATTTTCATGAATTTTATAAGATATTTATAAAAAATAAAGAAGCAGACGTGACTCTACCAGTTTCTCATTTTAAAGGCTCGTGAAGACACGCAGACACGGTAGTCCTCAAATTTCAACTCTGGGTTTAGCTTTGTACGATCACCAAGTCTTTTATCTTTATCTACAGTGGGGTAAGTGAGCATTTAGTCAGCCACCAATTGTGCAACTTCTCCTAAGCGCATGAGAGAGGCCTGAGAGACAAAATGAGCAAAAAAAAATCCAGAAAATCACATTGTCTGATTTTTAACCCTCCCACTGTCTTCATAGGTGACCCCCGCAAAGAAAGTTGAGCATTGAGCAGGATTGATGGTTTATCCCTTGAGGTCTACGTGGCAGGGGTGAGGAGTGTGCACCACCTCACCCCTGCCACGTGGACCTGTGCTTTGAAAAACTCTCTGTGCTTAACTGCAACCATTTTAAGTTAAAGGAAACTTTACACTTTCCTTTGCTTTAAATAAGACATCACTCGGTTAAGGAAATTATGTGATGGTCTTTCGAAGTTTTGGTATTGATTTGGTTAATGAGAGAGTTTAGTCATTGTTACTAGTTTTGAGTAGCTACTGATGTGTCTATGTTTTGATAATCTGCGTTGTTATATTTATGTAAATAAATGTTGTTTTGTTAATTTTAACACGAGAACATTCATCCTCACTTGTTACCCCAGACCCCTAGACAGCCTGGATCATAACAGATGACTGAAAACTTTCTGCTTTTAAATCAAGACAAGATGGAAGTTCTCATCTTTGGACCAGAAATCCAGAAAAGGAAATTGCTTAGTCAATCACCTGACCTGAATGGCATTACATTAATCTCCGAGAACAAAGTAAGGAACCTTGGTGTTATCTTTGATCAGGACATGTCATTCAAATCCCACGTTAAACAGGTTTGTAGGATTTCCTTTTTCCACCTTCTGAATGTTGCTAAGATTAGAAGCATCCTTTCCAGGAGTGGTGCTGAAAAACTAGTTCATGCATTTATTACATCAAGACTGGATTACTGTAATTCATTACTCTCAGGAAGTCCACAGAATGTAGTTAAAAGTCTTCAGCTTGTCCAAAATGCTGCAGCTAGAGTTCTGATGAGAATTAAAAGGTGCTTTTACAAGACACACCAAGCCGGCAAATTGGCGTAATATTACCGCAATGGTATGTCTATAAACGCAACATGCCGGCATGGCGTTGTGCGAATTTTGCGGCATTCATTCCGTGTCGCTTGGTAGTAATATTGCAGTAGTGGTCTGTCGTATACGCCCTGGCGCAACAGAGGCAGATGTCATGATGACGTGGGGAGTTATTGCTGAGCTCCGGCTGGCAAATGTATTCAAAATGAAAGTAAACACGGGCAATAAGGTTTGCTTTTTGAACAAAGACAGCTGAGATGGCAAACTAGAGCGCCGCAGCGCTCCATGAGCCTCTCTGTTAGAGCTGGAGCTCAGATCACCAGAGACTGCACAGGGACTGATGGGGACAGACACCTTTAGGAGCTGCTTGTTTAAAAAAAAACTTAACGATCATGGCTTCAATGTCAATAAAAAGCAAGTTATGTCCAAGATAAATGGAAGTCCGCGGCAGCACAGAGACCACCCCCCATACCCCCTTTAAGCCATCATCACCTAATCTTAAATATAATTGCCACGATTGCGCCACATTACTGCCATGGTCTGATCTTATAAACAATCTTCATCCTCCCCAGGGAACCGCGGCAAATCCCGTTTTGCAAACGGTATGGTCCTGTAAAAACAGCAAAAAAGAGAGATCATATCTGTCCTGTCTTAGCTTCCCTACATTGGCTACCTGTTAAATTCAGAATAGATTTTAAGATCCTCCTTCTCACATATAAAGCTCTTAATAATCAAGCTACATCATACATCAGTGATCTGATTGTTCCATACGTTCCTAACCGAGCACTTCGCTCTCAGACTGCAGGTCTACTGGTGGTTCCCAGAATATCTAAAATTAGGATGGGAGGCAGATCTTTTTGTTATCAGGCTCCTCTGCTGTGGAACCACCTCCCAGCTTTAGTCCGTGAGGCAGACACTGTCTACTTTTAAGAATAGGCTTAAAACATTTTTATTTGATAGGGCCTATGGCTAAAATCTGATGTTGGCCTAAATCTGGACAAGTGGGGGAGTAGAGGGAGGTGGACTGTACAGTCGGTAAAGACGGCTCTCCCTTGCCCTGCCTCCAACATGCCTCCATCTAAAAAGAATAGATTATCCAGAGTTATCTCTGTAGTTATGCTGCTATAGGCTTAGACTGCTGGAGGATACACTGACCACTTTTCACACTCTACTACTTTCTTCTACAATCTACTCTTTAACTGTATTATTTCCTGCTATTTCAGCTGTTAACTTGATTTTTTCTCTAAGTGTTTTTCTCCCCAGAAGAAGCTACAACGACGTTCTGCTGAGCTGTGGTGGCCTCATGGAGGGGGCCATCGTCTAGCACAGTGGTTCCCAAACTTGTTTAGCAGCGCACCCCCTTCTATGTCCTGACCATGTTGATGCACCCCCCAGCCCCACATCAGGGCATGGCTATATATATATATATATATATATACAGTATATACCGCAAATCCTTTAATACAGGCCAGTATTCAATTAAAGGCCGGGTCTCCAAATTTGGCTGGTGTCAGAGTCAGCGGAGGTAAATAAAGGCCGGTCTCTTATTGTGGCCGGGTGGAATGTGGTAACAAGCAAGTATGAGCGTCCCAGCTGCAGGGTTATAGTCCCCAATTCAACCAGCAGGAGGCAGTAGAGGTTCACACAGACCTTTATTAGGCTTTTTCTTCAACGCTTTGTAACGCTACAGACACAATCCTCTATCACGCTCCTACCACACAGAGTCACGGTGTCAGTTAACCATGCTAATTCAACCCCTCCACAGAACACACATCACCTTCCCTGTGGCTTACATAACACTCACACAACACGCAAATCAGCACATAGGAACTAGCAGAACGATAGGAAACACATATAACACAATACCCAGAATGCACCTGGCTTACAACCCCAGCCAGGTCATTACACTATCAAGTTCAAAGAGAACGTGCTGATTATGCTGCAGAACACTCTGGAGAGCAGCAGAAGGGGTTGTATGAACTAGTCAACTTCACTATAGTGACTTTTTATGCCTGTCGTCGACTAGTCGCTGTCACGTGATAATGACCGGCAAGATGCAGCCCTCGGAAAAGACAGCAGCCTGCTGTCAGCAGGTGACATACTTCTGCGCTCGGGGGGTGGGGGGGGGGGGGGGGGGGGCAACGCGCTGTGCCAGACCGTAGGTACTGACACGCGATCGTTCATGTCGGTTCATTTCCTTTAATGTTTTCTGTCTTTTATTTGCGTCTGATGTGTATCGCTGCTGTGGAGCGGGGCGCATCAACTTGTCCTCCGGCACAGATCACTGATGCGGCCGGCAAGCAGGGAGCGCTCCGCTGTTTTCGCGGTCGGTAGATCTGCCTCCTGAGCACGGCCACAGTAACAATCAGGTGTCGCCACCTCAAAAACTAATTTAACACGCGATCGTTCATGTCAGTTCATTTCCTTTAATGTTTTCTGTCTTTTATTTGCGCCTGATGCGTTTCGCTGCATGCTGTGGAGCAGGGCGCTGCGCGCATCACCTTGTCCTCCGACGCACTGATCACTGATACGGCCGCCAAACAGCGAGCGCTCCGCTGTTTTTGCGGTCGGTAGATCTTTTAGAACTGCAGTTCAAAGGTAACTCATAAGGTGAATATATATGAACCCAGGTAGCAGTTTTTCTTTAGGATTGAGAGGAGATGCAGGAAGATAATAAACAGACAGGACAGAAAAATAGTCAAATAAAAACAAGTTAGTTTTTGTACCTGCTGTTGCAACAAACAGACACCATTGAAGGTCATCAGAAGTGAGGAACAGAAAATTAAATAATTATTTTAATGTTTAGAGCAGCAGGAACTCCCAGAGGCTGCAGGCGCATCAGTGAGTTTGCGGCGCTGCGCAGGGGGAGGGGGAAGAGGGCTGAAGCAGGGGGAGGGGGGAGAGGGCTGAAGCAGGGGGAGGGGGGAGAGGGCTGAAGCAGAAACTACCGTTGTTAAAAGAAAT